TATTTTTTATTATAATAATTATTAAAATCAATTATTATAGAAGGAGTTAACGTATTGTGATAAATAAAAATTTGCCGAATTCAACTCTTGGTCTAATTTTTTCTTGTAAAATTTGTAGCTTTTGCTTATGAAAAATAATTTTTTATTACAAAAGCCACTCATTTCTGAAATAACAAATTTTTTTCGGAAAAAGTAGACTTGTTAAATACAGGATGTCCGGAAAGTTGCGCACCTCTTTGAAAGGGAGTAATTAGGTGGCCTCCCAGAGTACTGAAAAAATGCCATTTATTTTTTGACATTTGACATTTTTTGATATTTATTTAATGATACTAACGATGTTGTATATGTTTAAAAGTTATCTCGCAAAAAATTTTTGAATTTTTAAACGCCGATCACGGCGAAACTACATCAAAATGGTTGGAAAATTTGTTAACAAATTTTTACTTTTTGTTATTTTGTAAATTGCGCAAAAACTGTACCGCAATGATATAATATTTTGATGTAAACCTATGTAAAATGTTCCGGGGAATCGATTGGCGTCACGAAAACTGCAAAATTTGTAATAGTTTTGAAGTTATAAGGGAATTTATATTTTTGATATTTTTGACTTTATCACAAATTTTCTCGATAACTATTTCTCATAGAACACCAACCTTTTTTGAATATGATAGAAAATTAAATTTTCTTTCCAACGGTACCAAACATAAAAGGTTATAACTAATGACTCCGGAGTTATTAGCAATAGACCTTCCAAATATCGATCAAAATTTCGACAAAAATCAACTTTAAAATTGTTTCATATAAAGTTCTTTACATTTCTAGAGGTCTTAAAGACTCAAAAAAGTGCATAAAACGTTATTGGTTCAAATTTAAAAAATGCTGTTGTTGCAAAAAATAGATAAATTGCAAGGTGAACTAAATAAAAATTCAATCTGTTTCAGCATATCAGAAGTTTTTGAAATTTTGCAGCAACTAGAACCGATTGGTCTATTTCTTTTTTGTAATGTTAATATAAATAATGAATATATAGATTAATTAAATAGACCAAAACCGGTTTTTTTTTCATATCTTTCTCATTTTTTGAGAGATATTTACAATAGATCACTATTTTATTAAAACGATAGACCACAAGCGATTTTTTTTTCATTTTTTTATGTATTTGGTTATAAACAATGTGTTTTACATAATACCGACAAAAAATTAACTGAAACTAAACCAGTAAGTTTTTTTTATTACAGTGGAAAAAATGTGGATTATTCTTTCAAACTTCTACCATTATGTGGTCAACAGGTTTTCGTTCCAGGTCCGGAACATAAGAGGTTATAACTAATAATTCCGGAGTTATTAATAATAGACCGCTCCGGGTTCCAAAAATCGACCGAAATTTCGACAAAAATCAAAACAAAATTTCAACTTTAAAATTGTTCCATATAAAGTTTTTTACATTTCTAGAGGTCTTAAAAACTCAAAAAAGTGCATAAAACGTTATTGGAACTAAATAAAAATTCAATCTGTTTCAGCATATCAGAAGTTTTTGAAAATTTTACAGCAACTAGAACCGATTGGTCTATTTCTTTTTTGTAATGTTAAATAGTGAATGTATAGATTGAAAATTGACCAAAACCGGTTTTTTTCCATATCTTTCTCATTTTTTAAAAGATATTTACAATAGATCAATATTTTATTAAAACGATAGACCACAAGAAATGTTTTTCAATTTTTTATGTATTTGGTTATAAACAAAAAACCAGAAATTTTTTTTTATTACAGTGGACAAAATGTGAATTATTCTTTCAAACTTCTACCATTAT